TTTCCGTCCTAGACTCTTTAAGCATATTGATCTTCTTAGGAATTATTTATCAGCTATGCTAATGTTATGAGAGGAAGAGTGGAGTTTAGAATGTCTCGTTTTATTTGTGTTCATGTTGTTAATTTTCTCTTTATTGTTGAATGCTTATTAAAAAAAAAAAAAAAAACAAAAGAAAACAAAGTTTGAGGGTGTAGTAGCCAAAAAAAAATAAATAAAATGAAGAAAAAGAAAAAAAGAGAAAAAGAGAAAGAATGCTACATCCTTAAAGAAAGGTAAGTTTGGGGTGTAGTAGCTCAAAAAAAAAAAAAATACAAAAAACAAAAGCAACAAAATCAAAAACAAAAAAAAAAAGAAAATAAAGTTTGTGATAAAGAAAGTTGAAAATAAGTTTGGGGGAGGTCTACTTAGGTGAGTGAAAGGAGCTCTTCAAAGGTCTTAGAAGATTAATGTGCTTAGAGGGTGACTTGAGCCATAAATTTATTCCATATATATCCTAACCCTCACCCTAGCCATACATTACAAGTTTAATGAAGTCCTATTGATCTTTGATACAGTGTTAGTTGACATTAGTGGAGAGAGGAATGAAAAGCAAACATATGGGACTTATTTATTTTTGAGATTCTTTGGTCTTCTTGTTTGCATAAACTTACCCGGTTTACATTGAACAAAATGAGAAAAGACTAAGCACACACATTCAAATCATTCGCAACTCTTGACAATTTTTGTGTTTGTTGCTTAAGCTATGTCTATTTAGTAATTTTTGAGGATTCACCAACGACTGAAAAAAGAGAAGAAAATACTAACACGGACTCCACCATTGTGTAGATTGGCCGACGTAGAGTGTGAGGGTGTATTTTGGGGGCCGGCTGACCGGAAACACGGTTTTGATAGTCGGCCGGACTATTCTCCTTACCCGCTCTCTCTCTCTCTCTCTCTCTCTCTCTCTGAACCAGAAATCTTCCCAATACTGTTCAGTATCTAATCTTCTAGCCAGGGGGAAAAAAAAAAACCCTAGAAGGACGTGCTACATTAAAAACTTTGGTAGGAAAAAACCAATATGAAAAGCCCCAGTAAGGAAAATTTTTTGATTAACATAGAGGTTTGGTTGTTCGATTTCGCTAATAATGATGGTGAACATTATAATAATTAATGCTACAATCTTATAATAATAACCATATTTACGTGTGATACATAACGTTGTCTACCTTTTTAAATTTCTAATGTTATTTTATTATCATATAGTTGCAATTTTTGTGAGACCAAAATTAGGGATAGTAGTTCCCCTAAAAAACATGAGGATAGTAGTGTCATTATACATGCGATTAAGTAGCCAGTTTTGTAACAAAATAAAATCAGAGACAACTTTTAGAGTGAACACGAATTTTAAACATTTATATCATTAGCCCGAGTGATCTTCCGCCCAATAAATTCAACAGTGTCTGTATATTTAGGTGGAAAAGTTTTCATTTTTTAAAACTGTTTATTATTAGTGTACATGTTTAATTAAAATAATAAAACTATGGTGCATAGCACAGACCCGATAGACACAAAAATTGAACATGACCTGGATAAGAGCTAATTTTCTCCATTTTTATATAAAAAAAAAAATTCACTAAACACAATATTCAAATTTAATCATATCCAATATTCTCTAATCCTGTACATCAAATAACCCAAAAACTATAATCATTGACTACTTTACTCCAATCTATAGATTCCTCTTAATTAATGATATTTCTTTTATGACGCAGAATTCTAAACACAGGGTGAAGATAAAGAGAAGTCATTATAAACCACAAATTCAGACGAATTGTATTACAAGCTCAAATGTTATTTTTCCATATCTGAAAGAGTTCAGTATAGACTCATCCTCTTAGGACTTCCACACCAAAACGAGGCGTTCTGATAAGCAAAACGACTCTATAAATAGGCAAACGACAGCCACTTTAAACAGCTAAGCAAAACGTCCAGCAATATTACACTAAACAACCAGCGTATCCAAAGCTTTTATTTAGTCGTAAACGACCTTGATTAAGGGATTGACTGGTAGAAACAACACTAAAACCATTGTTCCTCTGGCATTGTCACTAAGACATGTTGGTTCTCTTAACATCATATAACCTGAAACATTGTTTCATTAAAACCACTGCTAAAAATGCTTAATGGATCGAGCCGAGTTGTAACTAAGTACTGATCCTCAAGCTAGCGAGGGTAGAGTTCTGAAACTGAAACCTCATTCTGGGAATCACGATCTGATATTGTCATTACTCCCGATTTCCCATCAGACGCTACTAACATATTGTCTGGTCCAATGTCACTATGCATAAAAAATGCCGGTCTTGAGGGTACTGCGAGAGTTACAGAGTGGCTATTAAGCATGAGAACGATTGAATTCATGGTGGGTCTATCCGCGGCATTTTCTTGAACACACAACAATCCAATATGTATGCATCTCATTATTTCAGCTCGCGAACCGACTGAAATGGTGGGATCTATAACTTTTGAAGCTGTCCCTTCCTTCCAAATTTTCCAGGCCTGAAATGTTTTTAAAAATGTGAAGAATTAGCAGGCCGGGTTTTATTTTTAATAAATAAATAATGAGACAAGATAACTAGCATCAGATGTAGAAAAACATCTCAACTAAATTGGTATCTAGATCCTACCACTCCAGTATTATCGAAATAAGAAAAATGATAAAAAAATATATATATATATATAAGGATAGCATATCCACCTAAAGGCCGAAAGCCAGAAGACCACAACAACAACCAGCCTTATATGTAATGCCCAAAATATTATAATTGTGGTTTTTCTTGCTTTTTGATGAGGTTTTCATGGGCTTTTTGTTTATGCGCTGGTTAGAGATGAATTCTTTGTTGATAGACATATTTTTAGTTGGCTAGTGTGAGTTATTGTTGAATTGAGTGTGTGTTTCTCTTGCTTTGATCTGATTTAAGACATGATTTGGAGGAGTTTTGGTTCATTTTTTCTCTGTTCAAATGTGTTTTAGTGAGGTGTATGCAATTTGTTTGGTGAAATGCTTGGCTGAAAATTCTGTTTTGGTTGTCTGAACACGTCTGATTGCGAGCGGAATATCTCTTAGAGTACTTGTTTAAAGCTGAAATTTTGGGTATTGAAACTAGACACTTTGAACTTGCTGTGGTGAAACTTTCATGGGAAAAGGCTGAAAGACGAATACCAAATCAGGTCTGCTGCTGGACTTTTTCCTGACAGATGGCGGAATTGGCTTATTTTTAAACCTACTCAAATGGACCTCAAATAAAGTGAAATTTTGCAGGATGCTTCTTTGTCATGTCTATTTTTACTATACATATTTTCATGACCAATGAGTTTGTGTATTGAAGTTTATGTTTTTTTTTTTTTTTAAAATTTATATATCAAGAGGATCTTTGCAAATTTGTACATGTGTGATTGTCAAAATGGTTCTCTTGTGCTTAAATGGATATAATGTGCATTTGATAGGTTTATAGCACATCAAGTTTACCAAGAAGGATCCACTCTCCACTCTATCCTAAGAACTATTGGAATTCAAGTAGAATCTTGTTTTCAAACTTCACAAGAAACAATAGTATGTGTTTGAAAGTCTTTTCTGTGCTAAATGGATTGAATGACTTGTATGATGGTGATTGTTTTATGAACATATTTGTCAAAGTAAATCTATTGTACCCCTATGTTTCAATTTAAAATGAAGTGTAAAATATGGTTTAGTATTTGGGTAGGCAAGGGATGCAGGAGGGACCAGCGGACCCAAAATATAGTGGTGAAATTCCTTGAGGCACGAGGTTTTTGATTGAAATTGTTGTAAATAGTACTTCTATGTATCTACTAATGCTATAATATGTAAATATTTGTTTTCTTTCAAACTCTTCTTTAATCAATAGAATGAAGTAATGTCCACCAGTTTGACTAGACAAAGCCTTATTGTGGTGTCCTCTAGTTGAGATGGAGTGTGTTACACTATATGTACACGATATGCTGTAATTATACCCCCATACATTGTAGCGTATATATAAGAAAAATATAAAGGAATCGTATTTGCACTTACATAGGTTAAAAGGCTTTCTTCTTTATCTTCAATATCCCGAAAACAACTATTCTTTTGTCCACTCACCAGCTCCAAAAGTAACACTCCAAAGCTAAAAATATCAGACTTGACCGAAAAGATTCCGTGAAGCGCATACTCTGGTGCCATGTATCCACTGTAACACCAAAAATTAATGAATTAACGAGCAAGAAAAATGTCATTATTCTTCGTTGCACTAGTTGCTTTTTGCTTATGGTCAAATATCAAGGACTTGTATATTGATGTCTTAGTACAAACTAACATTTGTCGTATAAAATGCAGCCCCTGGTTTGAAAAGGGTACTTACTAGGTCCCCACAATTCGACTTGTATTGCCTTGAGTTTGATCAATCACAAACAATCTTGCCATTCCAAAGTCTGAAATCTTGGGGTTCATTTCTTCGTCTAACAAAATATTACTAGCTTTGAGGTCGCGGTGTATAATTCTTAAACGAGAATCTTCGTGAAGATATAGTAGGCCACGAACAATGCCATGGACAATTTTGAAACGTTGATCCCAATTTAACTCTGCACGCTTGGTTGGATCTGCGAGTTCATACAAGTATATATATTCTTGTCAGTACTAATCAATAAATTAGTGCGCCCAAATTTAAGTTTAGTATTTCTTAGTTGTATACCAAATATGAATCTATCAAGTATATATAGGTAAGGTCTCTGGTCAAACACTTAGAAAGTGTCTGACCGGAACGACAGTTGTATAATTCTGCATAAATCGTGTATATTTACATATAAAGTCGTGTATTAAGTTATAAGAAACGAAAATGTATATTAATCCTCAAAATATGTATTTTTTTTATAGCAATTAGTGAACACATAGCATGTATATATATATATATATATATAGCAAATTTCTCTAGCTCGTTTGTATTTAATTTTGGACAAATATTGTACTTTACCCGGTAAACGACTCCAAATCCTCCTTGTCCAAGCTTGTTGTCGTCGGAGAAGTTGTCTGTTGCCTCTCTTATGGTTTCGAAGTCATACTGCAAAGATTCCGCCCAGCTAATTTCGTCGGAAGCTTCGAAAGAAGACGTTGGTTATTCAATGGTATGCATGAGATAATGCCTTCTGAAAGCTAGATTAGCATAGTTTTTTCCCTTTTCAAGAAGATCTTTTAGAATTTCCTTTGACGGTAGATTTTTTAACAAAATTTCAATTATAGACGTGACAAACTTTTACCCTCACTCTGGAAGTATTTTTCATTTTATAACACATTTATGTCATGCTAAAAGATAAGTTGGGATCTGCTAGTTTCCTCTAATGTGCATGAAATTGTTTTTTGATCTCTTCATTTGAAAGAAAAAAAAGAAAAACAAAACAAAAATCATTACAGGATAAAGTGCCGAAATAGGAAGCTAAATCTTGGAAGTGAATGGTTGCAGCAACAAATTAAGCGAAAATAACTTACTTCCGGGTTTTCTACTTAGTGGCTTCCTTATCTTTAGAAAAATGTATGTGCTGATGATAAGTATCAACACGATAACTGTAGGAATAACAGCTGCAACAAGAGTATGTGTTGTCTTACTCTTTCCTGCAAAACTCAAGTGTGTACATTAACAACGTTTCTTGTTTTGAAAAAATAAAATAAATATATAAAAGTCACACAACTAGAACTTATGAAACGGAATACAATCTCAACCTTTCACCAAAGAAATGTCCTCTCACAGATCTTTTTTTTTTTCCTTAAAAAAAAAAAAAGATATAAACCGAAAACAAGAAAGTGGATTTTTTCATTTTTGTGGAGACTAAAAATATCCATATTGTCACTATAACCTTTAAAATTTAATTTTTTTTAACCGGATTAGAGCACTGTATTGTATAGTAATATATTAATACAATGATTAGTGTGACCATTATATTTATAAACTAACACAGATGGTAAAATAATATAGTTTATGTCCTATTATAGAGAATACGATTTATTTTTAGTGTATTGTATTATTTATTTTATAGCGGATCCATGTTCAATGTCAAGATTGAGTACGACTGCGGGTCGGTGTTAGGCTAACATGGATCATGCCGGAACTTATAATTATTTTTAAAATTATATTTTTACCCTCAATTTTAAGAAAATTACATCTTGATCTCAAATTTTTTGAATAAATATATTTTGACCCCTAAATATTTTGAAAATTAAAATTTGACCCTAAAGTTTTAAAAAATTACACTTTGACTCATTTTAAAAAAATTATATTTTAACTCTAAAATTTTAAAAATATACATTTTGACCCTTTATACAATATGTCACGATATCAAACTCCATATCTTATTATAATAATACAATACAATACAATATAAGCTACCAAACATGACTAAATGAAAAAAAAAAATCATTATTGCAATTTTACCATGCAGACAAAGAGTTTACTTTTCAGTTCAGAATTGACAAAACATTCTTGTTCTTTTCACAACTCAATCAAAATGCACTCTTTTCTGCTACAGTATTTTCTCTCACAAAAATTTAACATTTTTGCTACAGTATTTTTTCTCAAATTAAAAAGTTTGAGTTGCAATTTGAGTTGTGAAAAGAACACACCTTCAGTTTCTCAGATAAAATAAGTAAAATCATGATATAGAAAGCTAATTCAAATATATATATATATATATATATTTGTGCTGAGGTATTTATATAAAGCATGAAGCAACAAATGTTTGCTTATTCAAAAAAGTTAAACAAAGCACGGATATACCATATACCTTTAGAGGACTTAGGAGACGTCATTGGGGCATCGGCAGTAGGCACAAAGAATTGTGACACTTCGTACCTCAAATTACAACTTGGTTTAAGAATCCTTGCCCCTTGCTTTCCAGAAAATTGCTGTGGAATGAACAAGCTTGCCTCTTGTAGGCAACCGTTACACTGTTGCGTGTCCAAATCAGGAGTGCACTGCGTTGTCGCGTAAATTGTTTCGTATCCCGGAATGGTAGATTCGCCTGATGCATACTTCTTTAGTGAATCGCCAGATGCAGCTTTACTTATCAAGTTATCCAACAATGGTTTAAGGGTAATCCTGAACAGATTTGGATCCCACGCAGCATTTGGGCTCGGCACATACATCCTCGGGTCATCTTGCCTCAAAGAGAATATAGATTTGTTGGAAAACCGTACCATACAAAGCTCGTCCCATAGGATCGCCTCCCTTCGGTTCTGGCAACGCCCCAATAGCCTTTCGCTAGAGTTGTAAACGCAACTCCGACAAATTTCTGGTGAAAGATCTCCTCTACATAGCGCGATTGCATTAACTATGTTGGAGTTTTCTCCCGAAGAAGAATTGTAAAACCCGTAATCTGTTCGGTTACTAGCATTAGAAGAGAAAGAGGAGAGAGCATTTCTGAGATTTTTCTCAAAGGTAGCAATACTGGTGTCGTTGCTAACGTTATAACAGTACCAACAGAACTCTGCCGCCTGCGTGCATAACCCGTTTTGTTGAGGGCCGTTAGAGTCGTAAAATCTGCTTGATTCATACCTTAGATTGCAGCTGGGTTTGAGAATTCTCCCGCCATTCTTTCCATCACAACATTCTGGAATCTTTAAGCTCGAGTCTTGTAGGCAATCGTTGCATTCCTTCTGGCTCAAATCGGGAGTGCACTGGACAAGTGCGTATATTGGTTCCGAGTTTGACACCTTTGCGCTGCCTTTCGCATACTTTTGAACAGCGGATGCAGCCTTAGTGATGAGGTCGTCAAGCAGAGGCTTTAACGCTTCCTTAAACTTTTCTGCATCCGCCGCTTCATTCGGGCTCGACAACAACTTAATGGGCTCGTCCTTTCTGATGGAAAATATGGAGTTGCTAGAGTACCGGACCATACAACGCTCTCCCCACAAGATTGCCTCCTTCCGATTAGGACAACTCTCCAACAGCATGTAACTAGTCTCGTTTAAGCATTTTTGGCAATCGTTTAACTCAAGGCCTCCTCTGCACAGACCGATCGCATTGACTTTGTCGGGGTCTTGCCCCAAGGAAGCATTGTAAAACGAGTAATCGGCCTGGTCGGGGATGGATGAGGAGATGGAGAGTAAGAGTTTCTGTAGGTTTTTTTTGTAGGTGCTATTTCTGCTGTAGTTGCCACTGCCGGAACAGTTCCAGCAGAACTCAGCGCTTCCGGTGCAGTCTTGAAGCTGGGCAAGGTTTGGAGTGGTGAGAAGGTGTATGAAAATTGGAAGGACGAATACAAGTAGAGCTGAGGAACTCATTTCTGTTGGCTAGCGATTTAGTGTTAATTTTCTGAAATGGTTGACTGACAGTGTATATTATGTGAAGTGGACTTAAATAGATGCTTGTAGATGCTTTTAGTTTACTTAGGCTCATTTAATCAAAATATAAGAATATAATTTATGTTTTTAAAAGATATTGAGATTATTCTTTACGTTTTTCTAATTAGATAATCTAGTATTTTTTTTTTAATTATGCAATATTCATCTTTAATGTTAGATTTAAATAAAATCAGCTACACGCAAAAAGTTTTTTTTGTTTTTGTTTTTTGTTTTTGTTTTTTGGTCATACATAAAATCAATTGAGCAATATTTGATTTTAACAACAAATTTGTCAAGAATCAACCAAAAAAAACTTTTAAAAAAAAGTTAATAAATTTCTCTCAAATGTTGAAAAAAATTAAAATCAAATTTAATAGTATTGGGATTTCTCTATCAGAAAATCATTTTCCTTTAGACACAACGAGTTTTGTGTACTTAGACACAATGAGTTTTGTGTAAATTTGACATCAAAAGTGAATTTTGTATAGTAAAAAAAATTAAATAGCTAAATTTTGTGTGATTAGAAAAAGGGAGAATGAAGTAAATAGTAAATTTTCAGTAAATAATTAAAGTAAATAGCAGATTTTTAAAATTATTTCAAATAAATAGCAGTAAATTAAATGTGCTAAAAAATCTTTCTACCAACGTTCAGTCCCACCTAGAGACAATTATAATTCATGGAAGATATAAAATATATAGGAGGACTAGTCTTTCTCGGGGATGATAGTCAATAAAACCAAAATTCAATTTTCATGAAAGGGGAGACTATCTTCCATGAAAAATTTGTCTCCAGGTGGAGCAGGTGGGGCTGAACGTTGGTTTTTCCAAATTGGACTCTTTTTCTCATCTGTTATTTTTTATTTTATCTCTCTCTCTCTTTATTTCTAAATGTTTCTAGGGAGTTTATCCAGTATTCCCTCCTTTTTAGGAACACCGATGTTCTCTGCTTTTTCAGCCGTTAAATTTAATCAAAATCACACCAAAATAAAAAGTTTGTAGAACAGACAGATTCGGATACATATTTGACAACTGAAAAGCAGAAAACACCGATGTTCTTAAAAAGGAGGGAACACCGGAGAAAGTCCCATGTGTCTATTCTTTGTTCTCTTTTTTGTTTTCTCATCTCCATCTGAAGTATCATTTTTCAAGATTTCTTTAATTAAACAACATTTCTTTCTCGGGACTTTCTCTGGTGAGTGTTACATGCTTATCAACCTTCGAATCTGTATTAAATTTGGTAAAAATTCAAATTAGATTGAAAAAGTGATACATATTCGATGACTGATAAGCAGAAAACACTAGTATTTCTAAAAAAGAGAATACATCAGAAAAAGTCTCATATAATATATTGAACCCTCAGAGAAAAGTAATATATAGTAGGGACCATGGAAGCCGCCATTTATGAATTTAAATTCTTCTGTCATGAAGAGTCATTAATGAGGCGATAGGCGATGTCGATCATTGTTCTTGACATGGATTGTTTGAAATGTGAAGGCAAGCTTTTTGATTTTTTTTCCTCATTGAACACGTAACTGAGTAGAGCATCGATTATGACCTAACTATGAGTTAGCAAAAATTCCAATTTGGAAATACCAACGTTCAGCCCCACCTAAAGACAATTATAATTCATGGAAGATATAAAATATCTAGGAGGACTAGTCTTTCAATAGTCAATAAAACCAAAATGTCAATTTTCATGAAAGGGGAGACAATCTTCCATGAAAATTTGTCTCAGGTGGGGCTGTACGTTGGTTTTTCCAAATTGGACTTATATATATATATATATATATATATGGCTTGAGTTAAGTCATATACTTCATTCTTCTGGGATGCATCCTTTGTCTTTTTGGTTTTATTGTTTTTATTTTTGGTTCATAAATTTTCTGGCAATTTTCTTTTTTTTTTATTAATTGATGATATTTGTTGGAGGTTTGATGCAGGAACCTATGTGATGTCCAAGAAATTCTTGATATCTTTCCTTCGACATGCTCTTGCAAAAAAAAAAAAAAAAAAAAAAAAAAATCCTGAATATCTAATTCATTAAAAAAAAAAAAGAAAAACAAATTTCCTCATGATGAATTACTCTGTGCAATCTTTTCATATGACCAAGGGAAAAATACTTACTGGGAGTCCGAGTGTGAACCAAGCTAAAACTGTGTCCTATAGTCATAAAATGGTCCACTATGTGAAGTATTCGTGAAAATGACACCAACATATATAGCACATTCAAAATTTTTTGTTCCAAACCGTGACTAACCAATTATATATTTTAAGCCATCTTATCCAAACTATTTTGGAGGGTTTTAATAGAGTTTTCTTAACTTTAACTTTCTCTATTGCATGTTCCTTTTTTTTCCTCGGTTAAAAACGGGTCTTTCTATATATGTTAATTTTTATTTTCTCTCTCTCTCTTTATTTCTAAATGTTTCTAAATTTTTTTTCTGTGTACCCTTCTTTTTAAGAACACTGATATTGTAACGACTCGACTTTTAAGACCACTACTTAGCTAACTTAAACATGTTTTTCTTATAAAAATACTTGTTATTCAAGATCATGTTTTTTTTTTTTTTTTTTTTTTTAACATTTACAATATCAACAAAGTGTGCCCATCCCAAACTTTATTTTTTTGCTATTATTTCTCAAGCGTAAAGTGATGTTGTCTGCTACACGTTCTCCCTCTCTCTCCTCCGCCCATCTCCATGTCTCTTCTCCTCTGCCTTCTCTCTCCTCTCTTCCACAGCGGTCGTCCTCGGCCGTGATCTTTCTTCTCCCATGAACATAAGTTTGTATTTCACATGTATACGCGTATATATATATATATATATATATATATATATTAATTTGTGAATTTGATATCATAACCACGTGGCTAGCTATAATAATCCCAACCATATTCACTGTTTTTCTTTAAGATTTATTCAAAATGGCTTTATTTTATTTATGGATGGCCAATGATCATGAAACGGACGCTAGTTGATCAATACACATAACTCTAACATTCATTTGCTTGGATGGAAAGGCTTTGTTGAGTAATTCACATGCTAGATTATCCCACACAAACAAAATAGTCAAACATGGAATAGAAATTACGGAACATGCTATTGTGACATGCCATTAATTGTGAATACGATAACAAGGCAAGTGACAAGCCCCTAAAATTCTTCGTCCTTGATTATTCACCCAAAATCACTTTCTTTGAATTGAATACTTTTTCCGAAAATCGTTATCAAAAACTCTCGATCATGTCGTCTCATCTTCTTGTCCTTTTTTGTTTTGCACTCCTGATTTTCGACAAAATTCCTTTATCAGCGAGCTTCGACTGGTACACGACATGTAGTAACAAATACCGTTGCGGGGCGATAGAAGCAGATTTTCGTTTCGTCGGAGATGGTAGACCAGAAGGCTGTGGCTATCCTGGTCTGAAGCTGAGCTGCGAAAAAAATAATGCAACGATTTATATTAGGGATGTGAAATACCAAGTTTTGGAGGTAGACCAAAAAGCTCAGATATTCAAAATAGCTCGAACTGATTACATGAACGGAATTTGCGCGCCACAATATAGGAACACCAGTTTGGATCCAGAGCTATTTGAAATGTTTTAGGTTTCACATGAAGTAAAATTAGGCTTGTTATTGCAGGAGTAACCTAGGAACTCTGTTAGGGCATTGATGCTGGAAGTTGTTAACATGAATATAATGGAAGAGATCAGGAAGAACAGTTTTAGTCCTGAAAAAGCCATTGTTATTATTTATTTATTTGCCAATGCTATCTGGTAGGGGAATCAGGAAAAAATTGAAAATTAGTGATCTTAACTCTTGTGGGTGAAATTTACGTAGACTTTTCATGCATAATTATTGACTATGATCCTTCTTGGAAAGAATATTTACGAGTCTTTGTTTGAATTAACCGGAACTAAACTATCCCTGTCTTCTTTTTTGACTAGAGAAAGAAAATCATATATCTCGTTACTTTTTCTAATTTATGTGCTTTCTTTATTTAAAACCAATACAAAAGATTGATCCACGCATTACTATGTAGCAAATAGTTTAACAAATATAAAATCGTAGTGTACTGTGTGTTAGTGTTTGATGCAATAATCAACATTATCACTTTATTGTTAATTTGCTTGTTCCCTACAAATATACGACTTTAAATTAATCTTGAAGCCAGCGTTCAGACATTATTAATTGAAACTTAAAAGATATTAGAAATCTCAATTGACTGAGACGGGAGTGGATGAGGACAAAAGAGCTGGATGTATATATAATTGAAAAGGTCTCTTTTTCGTTGAAAACGCACCATAATTTATCTTTGTTTATGTATGCAAGTCCGTTTCACTTTTCGTGTACATTGGCTCAGTGACCGCGGACTAAGTTGTTAGAATCACCAGAAACTAACGTATTTTTTTTAATTCTTATAAATCTTTTTGTCGTGGAAATAAAAACTTCATAACATATATATATATATATATATATATATATATATTTAAGTTTAAGGTTGTGGTTACTATAAAAGCTGAATTCTGCGACAGGGGAAGTCAACGCTGGGTTGAACTCACGTTCAGGGACAGGTGCAGGGGTTGGGTCGAAACTACAGCCATGGTCAAGTCAAATTAGGCTAAGAATGTTGCTAGGGTTGTGTCGATGGTTGTTGGGATCAGTGTTGGTAGTGTTAGAAATCTTGAGGGAAAGGAGACTTGAAACACGTAGAAAGTACGCTTTCCTTAAAGCGTAATTTGCCCCCTCTCGTTAGAGATTACTTCGGGTTTTCGGTAAATCGCTCGCAGGATATAACAAGCCTTCAAGTTGTTAATCACGAGCAAAATGACAACAACACTAAGAACACAAGAACTCTTTGAATTTTTGGAAATTTTTGAACAAGAAGAGAGAAGAATTATAGAAAATTATTTCTCATTGATTTATCAGTAATTCTTGTTATTTTATAGTTTTTTTGTCATACCAATTCGTATAGACACAACCAAACTTAAAAAGGCACATTTTTCATTTGAATTGGTGTCAATTTAAGTTTTAAAAACATGTCTGGTCGTTACGGCGCTGCAGTGGAATGTTTCAGGCGCTGCAACGCCAGTTTCTGGCAAACCAAAAACTTTATGTGCAAGCCCGAGCGCTGCAGCGCCCATCACTGGCGCTGCAGTGCCCATTCCAGCGCCGCGGCGCCCAAACTCAGCGCCGCGGCATCCTGCTTGCTGGAAATTATATTGTGTCTATTTCAACGCCGCAACACCCAAACTTGGCGCCGCGGCGCCCTTCTTGCTGGAAATGGCTACCTCTTAAATGCAGAGAATGCAATGCGCTTTTATATATGATAAAACTTAACAAATTCTTATATGTTATATTTAAACAATCCCAACAATCCCCCACTTGTTTAAACTTAATATTGAAGAATTTTATTCAGAAACTGTATATATGCAAAAAGTAAAATATCTTTTGATTTGAATTTTACCTTAGTGTAAGTTTCACAAATTGCTTTAAGATTTATTCGACCATAAAAATAGAGCATATTCACTGTTTTTCTTTAAGATTTATTCAAAATGGCTTTATTTTATTTATGGATGGCCAATGATCATGAAACGGACGCTAGTTGATCAATACACATAATTCTAACATTCATTTGCTTGGATGGAAAGGCGTTGTTGAGTAATTCACATGCTAGATTATCCCACACAAACAAAATAGTCACACATGGAATAGAAATTAAGGAACATGCTATTGTGACATGCCATTAATTGTGAATACGATAACAAGGCAAGTGACAAGCCCCTAAAAATTCTTCGTCCTTGATTCTTCACCCAAAATCACTTTCTTTGAATTGAGTACTTTTTCCGAAAATCGTCGTGGTCCGATCGATTTCTTTATTTTTGTTGCCATTCAAACGGCCATTGCACAATCCACAATCCCCAGAAACTCGCTTCCTTTATCTCTTCACCGGAAATGAATCAAAAACTCTCGGTAATGTCGTCTCATCTTCTTGTCCTTTTTTGTTTTGCACTCCTAATTTTCGACAAAATTCCTTTATCCGCGAGCTTCGACTGGTACACGACATGTAGTAACAAATACCGTTGCGGGGCGATAGAAGCAGATTTTCCTTTCGTCGGAGATGGTAGACCAGAAGGCTGTGGCCATCCTGGTCTGAAGCTGAACTGCGAAAAAAATAATGCAACGATTTATATTAAGGGTGTGAAATACCAAGTTTTGGAGGTAGACCAAAACGCCCAGATATTCAAAATAGCTCGAACTGATTACATGAACGGAATTTGCGTGCCACAATATGGGAACACCAGTTTGGATCCAGAGCTATTTGAATATGCTCCGGCCTCTGGAGATATAACACTGCTGTATGGTTGTTCACCTGAAAAGAACAGCTACATTGGAGGTTTTAACTGTTCGGCCAGTGGGAAGGGGTTTATACTGCCAGGGAATTCGACAAGCGGAGGAGCTGAGTTGGTTTGCCGCTCGCGCGTGATTGCGAGAGTTCCCGATCCGGTGCGCAACTACGGCGAGTTAGGAAATGTTTCGGTGATCTCGAAGGCGTTAGCAGAAGGCTTTCCTGTGAAATATAAGGTGGACTTTGAGGCTTGTGGGGAGTGCAAGAACTCCAATGGCGTTTGTGGATACGACGGGATACTTAATCAAACGACGTGCTATTGTCAGAATGAACTGTCCTTGGACCTCAGGACTTGTCCGCCGACGCCGGGATCTGGGGACGACGGAGGTGATCTGGAAGTACCGGATGCCAAAACAGGTACGTAAGAATTGATTGACCAAATTACCTGGTAATCATACTAGTAATCTGGTAATCAAACAAAAGATAAGCTAAATAAACTGTGTATGTAAAATGATTTTTCCACGATTTTTATTTGCAAAATGATTTCGACATTTACACTGAACAACTAAGATGGTTGCTCAATGTAAAAATAAAAACTAAAAAATAAAAAATAAAAAAGGTAATTTTATTAAATGCATTGCTTATTTTCATTGGTAAAATGTGACTTTCTATTTATAATAGACTTACAAATAGAATTATGTAAAATGATTGTTTCACGATTTTTATCTGCAAAATGATTTTGACATTTACACTGAACAACTAAGGTGGTCGTTGAGTGTAAAAATAAAAAAGGGAAATTCTACTAATTTCATTTCCTAGAGTTATTACTTTGGAAATTTTCCTGTCAAAGAATGCATTGCTTATTTTCATTGATAAAATGTGACTCTCAATCTATACATAGACTAACAAATTGGATTATGATAAATCACTTGTCGCATTACTTGCTACAAAACTTCGGTGAAATATTTGGGATCTCTACTGACACTACCATTTCAAAATTGAGCACTAGCGTTTGTATGGTAGGAGTAGTTCATTAGATTAGATTTTGCTAAATGAGAGCAAGTACTCTACTTGGAATAAAAAGAGTACCGTGAATTAACAATTATTAATGTTGCCATTTTTTATGCTTACGTGAGCGAGCAATACTCATATTTTTTCGTAATTTATAAGTCCATGTGTCATGGCCGAGAAATTTATCAAAATTATTGTATATGATAATATTTCTTAGAATCCTTTGTATCATTAATATAAATACTATTATGATAAGTATTTGTTTATATAAGTATGAAATAGTAAGTTATAAGCTAAAGTTCAGAAATTTCTGAACTACGATGCAGTTATCGATTTTCAGACTGTATTTAAGAAAGAAGTATGGAATGTTGTGTTAAGCCCACAAGTGGGTAAACACATGAATGATAAGTTTAAGAAATGGAAAAGAATTGAAAGACATCAATTCTAGGGTTTTAGAAACAGTCGGAACGAAAAACAGACGAAAAAGGGGTTCAAAAGGCTGCACCGAGAAAATTGAGGTTAGGACTGATTTGAGTTGACCAAGTCAAAATTTGTTGACGAAGAGTCGACCAAAACATCGCCCTCAAAAAGTTAGTCAAGAATGGTTAAGGTTGACTAAGTTGACTATCTGTCTAAAAAACGTGTACCGGATAGGAATTAAACTGAACCAAAATAGGATAATTATAAAATTATCAATGGTTGAGATTAAAAGTGAAAAATTGGATGGAAGGCTGAGATTGAGCCATGTGGCATGAGAGGTGGCCGGCCAAGACTTAATGGAGAAGAAAAATGAGAGATATTTTTGGGATATTTTGGGAATTTTGTAAAAAGTCCATAGAAATGTCAAGATTTCATTTTTTTGGACTTTGCCTTTTGGGATGGTCGGTTCACTAAAGGGATAAAACATGAGAAATGTTTATTTCTCACGCTAAGAACAGAGGGAACTCAGCCAAAGAGAAAGGAAGAGAAAAAAATTCATCCAAAGTGAGAAAAGCGAATTTTGATCAAAATTGACGGAACAACACCGCTAGTTCATGTCACCGAAGCTTTTTCTTCATTTTTTAAGGTGAGAATTCAAAATTTTCTTGTTATTTCCCAACCATATTTGCACGTGGAGTATAGGGAAAAAGATGAAAAAAATTTCATTTAAAAGGAAGATTAGCTTGTGATCGTTAAGGAACTTAAAAATGGATGAATCAAGAATAGATTCTAGGTTAATTAACCTTTATTTCTATCAATTTTTGGTATGGAGAAATTTTATGGATATATGATGAAACCCTAGAAATTGAAAAGTGAATGAAAGAGGAAGTATGTGAATGGTGTTTGATGGTGGAAACAACGGATAAAATGAGCTAAGGTTAGCTCGAGAAACATGCAGAAATAGGTGGAACTCTGCCGAAATTTAGCTTGAGTAATTTGAACTAAAACCGGATTTCAAGAGGAATAAGGGATTAAAGTGTGAAAAGAAAGGTGTTTCGATAATCGGGTTGTATAGAAACTGAACACAATGAGAATTTACAGTTCTGGACCGAAACTGAGAAATTAGGGCCATGACTGAGGAAAGTGCACGGTTTTAGTGCAAATTCTAAAGATAGAAAATATTTTGGGATTGAATACCAAACATAAGGATTGTAGACCTTTCCGAATTGAATTTTAATGTAATTATTGATCTTGAATTTTGAATCTAATGATTAGAAATTTATGCAATAGGATCGATTAACGATTAAAGTCAGAAAGCATCAAGTGAGACAAAGGACACATCATTGGTGAAACTTTTGTAAATACAATAGTTTTTCTATGACTATATCATGAACAAGCTACTTTTCTATGTTGCACAAAAAAATTGTGCATATGGTAGAATTTTGAATGTTAGATACAATGTTAAGCATGTGTCTACAAGACTTAAGTAGCTGTAGAACTTTACTCTGCGAAAAGTATGTATCGATGATAAGTCAAGGTCAAGTTAAGAGAAAGAGTTAAAATTTAATGAAAAGTCAATCTCATGATAAATTGCTCAAAAATGAACAAATTCATAAGATTTAACCAAAGTTACCGTTTCAATGAGAAAATTGATGAACGGTAAGAGACCAACCATCATGTTTGAACCAGCCTTCGAAGGAAAGGTTATTATAAGACTATGAAAGAAATGAAACCGTGACTAAGTTGGATTGGTTAGCTACCCCACTCCTCACTGGTTATGTACGCTATGGTACAACATGACAGAGCCCATAAGAAGTAAAAGATAAGAAAATGAAAAACAGAAACCATTCCATATAAAGGTACGGTATCTGTAAAGAAGAATGAAAAGAATGAGAAACACGAAATGAAAGTCGTTCAGAATGTAAAAATACAATGTGAACGACTAAAATGAGACGAAAGCAAAACAAGGTATGTAATGAAAGAAGAAGAACATAAGCCATACATGTTTTAGTAGTACATAATATATTATGATATATGACATGAATGCATATATGAGTATGCATAATTATTGCATCTATTATGACCTATTGATACTTGTTGAGCGAAAACTCATTAAGTTTGTTCGTGTTGTATGAAACTCGGGTAAGGTACCGGCTCCCTGAAACTTGTTGATGGGCATGCAGATAGGATGTAGCTGCGGAGTGTGGGCAAGTGGGTTGTGGATGCATCACGTGTTTTGAAAACGCTGTTAAACTTTATGTGTAAAAAGTAAATAGTGTTTTATAAATATAGATGAGTTATGTAATGAAAGTTAAGCTTACGAGATAGTGAGGCTATGCATAGCAACATCTAGTCACAAGGTATGACTAATGTAACAAATGTTGTCAGAATGCTACAGCATTTTAGGTATGACTAATGTAACAGAATGCTGTCAGAATGCTACAACATTTTATAAATAGTTGAAAACAGAATGCTAGTTAAATGCTACAACATTTAGACGTACATGGTAAGAATGAAAAAAAAATTGGCTTGAATTTTTAAAAGGTTATAACTAATAAGTAGTAGAGGTTAAGTATGAACATAGGATGATGATCAAAAATTTTGGTCGTCACACACCAGATTGTCTTGCACTTTTTCTTCGTGATAATGCATCCACATTAATCAGGATTAATTAAAAAAATGTTTTGTCTTCTTCAAAGTTAAGCTTTAGTTGATTATATATATATATATATAATTACGCCATTTGTCCTATTTTCTAATCTCTCTCATTACCATTTATCTGAAATTCACGAGATTCTACACGATAGAGTCATAGAGAGTAGTTGAGTACTGGCGGACTAAATGCTGCCAGTTCGAGTGATCAAATATAAATTATTGACGTTAACCTTTTATCATAATTAATTTCAGGACCACATTTAATTTCCCTGGTCCAAGTATAGATTTAATGAATTATAAGCTTAATTTTCTTCTAAGATGGTTAGATTAGATGGCGAGTCGCTCTCATTTTTTCAATTGATAGAAAAGGCCTTATATGACATCTTAATTCTAACTGTAAGGTAAATCCCTTAATTCTCTTACTCTAATTAGTCCCTTTAATTTAAGAATCAAAACAATATTAATAAAATGAGTCACATTGAGTTAGAAATAATTGAAAAGGGAAATGATGTGAATGATTGTATATTGCCCTTATCTGTAATAGCTCATGTACAGTGTTTATATACAATACAAAGAAATCACTGAATCTATAGCAAGGTTCCAGGTGGCATATCAGAAAGTAAAAGAAATATTACAAAACCCAAGAGAATCACACATCACGACAAAGAATAACAAACTCCAGAAATATGGGTGAGGAAAATATCTGTAACAAATTCACATGACTAACTCTAACCGTGTTAAACATAATTAGAGCTAATGAAGAATTAGCACTGCCTAACATCTCCCTGCAAGCTCAGCATGGTTGAAGAGACAACACTGAGCTTGGATCTGAGCTTATAGAAGAATCCAGAAGAGAGAGGCTTGGTAAGAATGTCTGCACTCTGTTCTACATCTGGTATGTGTTGTACTACAAGTGTCTTAGCCAAGACCTTCTCTTGGACAAAATACAAGTCAAGCTCTATGTGTTTCATTTTCGAGTGCAAAATGGGATTTGCACTTAGTGAAACTGTACTGAGATTGTCACACCAGACAATAGGGGGTCTAGTCTGAAGAATTCTCAACTCGCGCAACAAGGATTGAACCAAACAAGCTCGGAAGTGGTGGTTGCCAGACTTCTATACTCTGCTTTTGTACTTGATCGGGAAATGGTTGGCTGCTTCTTTGAACTCCATGAAATGGGACAAGCTCTAAGGAACAAGCAGTAACCAGTGGTGGACTTACGATCATCAGGATCAGTATCCCAATCAGTATCACAATAAGCATGCAACAAAAGATTAGAGGATCGAGGCAAATAAAGACCAAACTGAGCAGTCCCTTGCAAGTATCGTAAGATCCTTTT